TGCGTGACAGTTCATTCTTGACCCTGGAAACATACTGACAAATAAATGCAACAGTTTGACCAAAAAAACCCCACTTACTCATGGTCTACTTACAAGCTTATTCCAAAGCTTTCAATCACATCTCATGGTCTTCCTCTGCAGAAAGCGTTTGCTCAATTGTCACTGTTATCAGATCGTGTATCGCGCAATCGCCTTGAAAACCGAACAAATCCAATCCACTGAGGAAGGCATGCGGTTGAAAGCTCCAGACAAAGCTGGTAAGTGGATCTTTTGTCTGAAATTCAATTTCATGGTTCGTTACATGCAGTTATAGCTTCGCTATATCCTCAATTTGGAGTCTCTTTAGATTATATAAACTAACTCTTGACTAATTGGTGATACAGGATGTCATTTACACCAACATGTTACTATGTTTTATTTTATGTTTTATCTTGTTTATATTAAAATCTGCATGAAATCATCTGCAGTTATAACCAAAATACAGTCACAATACCAACAGAATAATATGATATTTTATTAGATAAATATTGCTCAGCGTCTACAAGTGATTTGTTAAGTGATACTAAATAATAACGAATGAAATGTCTCTATTAGTTCATTACAATCAGCGACATCAGCATCACAACTGAATGAGTTTAACTTCATCAGCTTTGTGGTTGATTCTGTTGAAAATACGAATTTTTCCTCTTGTTTTGTGTAGCTGTTGTCCACGTGACCGCCCAACAGGAAGTAAAACCACGTGAGGCTATACAGTGACTGACACATCTTCCTTGCTTTCTGCTAATAGGAACAATTTCTTTTTATTACCTACTGGAGACAGGGGGCTGACACTGGCGCGGTTCTGACTCCAGAGCTAACTGTTGAGCGTGCAACATGCCAAGAAAAGCTCGCGGTTGCAGCTTAAAGGTCAAACGTTTACCTTTACCTGGAGGTCGAGCTGTGGTTACCTGTCAGACCCCGGATCCTGCTGCTAAACCGTTATACTATGAAATGCACGGGGAACACGTGGCTTCTCCCGCGGTGGCGATGGTTAACTTACTAAAATAAATCCGGTAGTCAGGAGAATTAGGGTGTCCTCTCTCCTCCGTTTGATAGTGCATCGTTTTTCTCAAATAATAGAGATGAGGCGCCGCTGCTGCTTGTGTGACGAGCTTGTTTCGAGAAGCAGAAAATGAACCGAAAACGGTCACCAAGCGGCCAAGCGAAGAGCTCAGCGGCAGCGGTCTCATTATAGACACTTCTCCCCTCGGTTCCTGCTTCCCGTTTCCAACCTCCGCTCCGCCACAGTGGAAACGGGAGCTTCCGGTCGTGGTTTCCAGAATAAAAGCCTTCACACTGCTGATAATGGGGATTTGTGATTAGACAGCTAAATAATAGTCATTAACAAAAGATAAAGGGGTTGACTGAAAATTATAAACTGAATGCGGGTAAAGGAATCATCTGGGAAATATGGTTGTGATAGATTTGATTTTAGTTCAAATAAGAAACCTGATGGTGCTGCTTGATGAAAGTCCCTTAGCATGAAAGTGCTTAAAACATTAAATGCTTTGCAATATGCCAGTTTGTGCAAATCTGAAAATATTTGTCTGAGGGTGGCACTGTAAGAAAGCACCTGTTGTATCTAAAATGCAGATGGTTTATTTTTGGATGATAGTGAATGTACAATGTAAAATTTTCTGCCATCTGGCCATTAACTTTTGGTTTGTCTTTTTTTCTTGGCCTGATGCCTGGCACTATATATTACAATTTTTATTAATATTAACAATAATGTAGTAACAGATTTTTGTATGTGTCACTATACTTAAACAGGCCACATACTGGAGCTACTATTGCACAATTATTCTGATAGTAAAATCGTTGTAACCGGATATAACGGGATTATTAACTTGACAATTCTTCCATTGCGTGCTTGTGGTCCATTTGTAGTTGAATTATTTTACTGCCACCTAGCCAATCTGTCCCCCGAAGCACACACCACAAGCACATTTGCTAGATTGGTCACATATTCTTCATTTCTTGGCAGTCGTTGTCCAAGGGAAGGGATCATCGATGTGTGCACGAACTAGCAATTGAAACGGGGAGACACAAAAAACCATGGCAACCAAAACACACAGATGGTCTCAGATGAACTTCCTCATACAATGTAAAACATTCAATGAAATAAGGAACATTACTCTAACAAGTTCAACTCTGTAATCTCAGATTTCAAAGAGCTGAATGACGTCTCAAAATTAAATTAAATACTCCCAGGAGAAGGAGGGCATGGAGAACAGGGCACTGAGTCACCTAGACACACACAGCACACACACAAAGCCTACATATTTGCATTCATGAAAGAAATGTTTACTTTAGTCATCTTTTCTTATTTTAGTTATCGTGTGTGTGTGTGTGTGTGTGTGTAAATATGTATACAAAGGGTGCGATTTACGGAGGGGGGGGGGGGGGGGGTGCGTGGGATTTCCCTCTTCTGGTTTATATATCCCTACCTCTGCTGAATAATTTTCTTCCCCAAAATGTTCGGATCGATCCAAAGTTTTGTCAGGCTTAAATTAATTTTAAAATGCGCTACTTTGGCTCTGAACCAGCTGCCTCTCTCTGTCTGGTAAGCACCAGGCTGGACTCGCTTAATGTCCCGCCCACGGCACTTTCTGATTGGTTACAAGTCGCGAAAAATAGCCTATCAACACTCACGAGACATTTGCTCCGGTGAACGGCGGAGCTGTGTCGAAGGGAAGGCAGCCGATATCACTGAAGCTGCAATAAACATCACAATCTGATGATCTGTTTCACCGGCGCCGACAGGAATTTTGGGCCCCATGACAAAAACATCTGATTGGGCCCCCTCTGCCAGCTGCTGTCACCACATCTCTAGGACCTGTCCCATCAAAAGCTTTACAAAACTCTAATTAAAGGCTTGCAACTGTCTTGCTTCTTGTACTTGTTCACTATTAGCACAATATTTACTGCTGGTGATTTTTACATGCAGGTGTGCATACAGTATGCAGTTCACTAGTTGATGCAAGATTAAAAGCCACCATAAAAATGTCCTTAATGCAATCTTTAACTGTCTCAATGTATTTTATTGTAAAATTAAAAGATTGAAATCTCTTAACATTAACACCTATCAACAGATGTCATTGAACGGCCATAATTCAATCTAAATGAATGTAACAAACTGGATTATTTTAATATTATCTGTAATTTACATGCAGGCTGAGGTAAGCTACTCACTGTTTAAACTGTCCAGCATCCAGTACAGACAGGAGGTTGTTTTTATTTTATTACATAATGATCATTACATTTATTCATTTATTTATTTTATCTGACGCTTTTCTCCAAAACGACTTACAATTGCTATACATGTCAGATGTCACAGGCCTCTGGAGCAACGAGGGGTTAAGTGTCTTGCTCAGGGACACAATTTTTGGGGATTGAACCTAGGTCTCTCACACCAAAGGCATGTGTCTTACCCATTGCTCCATCACCATCCCCATTGTGTGAGAAAATAATTTGTATTTGAATTTCTGTAATTAATAAATATTTCATTTTCTTTTTGTTATGTTAAAAAGAGCAAGTGAGACAGAGAAATCCCCACAGCCTCCCTAGAAGGATGGTAACTGGCGTGTCATCAACACCACGCTGCTCAACTTCTTTACTGGGACAGGGAGGCTACAGTTATGGGGAGACTGGGGTGCTGCTGACTCATCTGTTGTTAGTCTGCTAAAAGGGGCAGGGACAATGATTTTATATGAATATCTTGCTAAATGTTTCCCTGCACTGATTAAATGTTGATGAAATGTAGGCTAACACTAGTCTGTAGCTAGCTAGCTTATTTCACTGTGGACATTAAGCCAACAGGTTAACACCACTCACAGACTAATGGCCGCCCATCTGTCTTGGTGAAAAACTGGGTTACAGATTGACATCCTTTCCTTTTTCTTTCCTCTCTCTCTCTTTGTTTCCAGATTTTGTTTAACATTATGTTCTCTGTATTTCTGGCGAATCTACTGCCTGCAACTAAACACTGTCACTGATGAGTGGCTAAGGCAGGACCAAACCATTTCATGCAGATGCAGGGGGGTGGTCGGTCAATGGGGATATTTTACTTTTATTGCCAAAAACAAAGAGATCATTCATTGTATTGTTATATTTGAAATATATATATATATACTGAGTGATGATGGTTTATATAATGCATAATATATTATAAGTGTATATTAGTTTTTATCTATTATTTTGGGGCCCCTGTCAGTCAGTGGTACACAAGAAAAATGTTCTATAGTCAATAATTGTATCAGTTAGGCTACTATCAGGTGCAAGAAATTTGTAGACCTTTTGTCACTAACATTAGGGTAATGCACACCTGGCTTTTACAATATATTCTTCTGTGTTCAATGGATAAAGGTCCCTGTTGCTCTTGCTTTAATGGGTTTTATTGAGGTAATCTTCACAATACATCATGGGTTCAAAGTCCAAATGTATCCATTGTAGTATAAATAAACACCCAACCCAGCCACCTTGATGTGCCTCTTTTACTGTAGTATAGGTTGGTCTCTGTTCAAACAAATGACAAACACTTCGGCAGCCATAAAAAGCTGATTTACTAAAATCTTAAAGTGCCTGCTTGCCTTTGGTACAGTTGAGCACAAAGTCCTACTCAATTAATGTAGTGTTATAAGCCTGTAAGCTGGTCAAGGTCAAAGTACTATGACTTGACATGAAAGTACTATGACTTGACATGAGACTACTATGACTTGACATGAAAGTACTATGACTTGACATGACTATGGGCTGTAGTAAAATTTCAACAAATTACATTATGGCTGAAATATATTTCTAATCTATTTGATCAGTTCTTACCTGTGTACTGATTTGGAAAATCTGGATGCAGAGCCAAATGAGAAGAGATTCCCTTCCCTGCCCAAAAGCAAAGCCCTCAACCAAGACTCTTCCACTGATGGTGCCCAAGTGACCAGCAGTAAAAGTCTGTGGCTGTAAAAGACAGTTTAGGGCATGAGTGTGTTTTTATTTTCCTTTTCCCTATCCACACACCTGGCTGAAAAAATAAGGCTCTCTTTGTTGTTTTGTTTCATTAAACAAGCTTTGAAAAAAACTGGTTCCGTTAGCATTTGTTTCTTTTAGCATTTTATTTAAAAAAAACCAACATATTGTTGGCTAAAAACATATGCTGCAGGTGGTCACAATCATTTTCAAAAAGCAGCTTGGAATAGTGACAATATTATTTCATTCACAAATATATTTTATAGTGCATGCATCTGATGTAAAGTTTGTCATTTGAAGTATTCTGGAAAAAAATTAGTCGATTAATCAATTAGTTCCATATAGCCTAGCTACATCAATTCATAGAAAAAACATAAAGCGTATTGATTAAACAATTAATAACACACACTTCTCATTCATAATTTCTCTTTGAAGAATAAGGCATTTTACTGAATTGAATATGAAAAACTGATTGTATTTGATATGACACAAGAAGCTGATCTGTCTACTTGTAAAATAAACCTGAAGATCTTTAAAAGAGATGTAAGCCAATAAATATTATGCGGTCCAAACGAAATGATTGTTTGGCCTATCTGCCTTGCACTCACTGTGCATGTTGTGTGCTGCCTATTACTCTTTTTGAGCAGGTCAAGAAAAGCCACACCCTGAGTGGGTGATGTCATATTAACAAATAATTATGGGGACGTTTTCAACGTGCAGGAGATAACATTATTTACTCACTTGCATGTTTGTACAAAGTCTGTGATTGTTCAGTATATTTTACTTTTCCAAGTCCTCTTGGTTATGTAAGACTGCTGACGTCTGTCGTGTTTAACAGAGAAGACAATAAATTACTGTTTAATAGTTTGATTGTTCGATTTTTCTCAAATACACACGTAGATGACGACAGTGATGCAATGTAAGATGCTAAAAAACATAACGTATTATGTTGACGACCAGCTGACATAATGTTATGTTGTGAGCACACTTGTGCAACTAGTCCAATGGAAGTTAGACAGGTGTACTATGAGCACACTCGCACAGTGATCTGAAAACACAATGGGAGCCCTCAATAGGGAGGAAATGCATCCATTCATTGTTCTGGCAAGGAAGGCAGTATCTGGTTGCTATGACCAGAAATCATTGTGGCAGCATGTGTGTTAATGAATTACCTGTCTGACCAGGTTTGGCATTTTTGTGACTGTCATTTTATAGGTTGTTACTAGAGGTTATATGTTTTTGTATAGGGAAACAAAAACAAAAATGCATAACAAAATGAGGAGTTATCCAAAATCAGATTTTTTTTTTGCTTAGAAAACACAACTCCTGCTGTTAAAACCTAAACTAAAACTAATAAAAAACAGTAACCTGAAACAGCCGCTAAGAGGTGAGAGTGCCACATGCCAAAAAAAAAAAGAAGCTTACACTTGCAACATAAAGGTCAAACAGCACAAAAGCACATATGAGTGCAGCCTGGGTCATGTCCTTAAACACTCTTTGCACTTTTGCTAAAGTAGAATTGTGACATGAAACTTTTAGCATATTAGTACAATGCAGCTGCTGTGGTAGTAGTGCATGTTGATTTTCTTTCATTCGTTTCAATTATTTATTAGCTCTCTCAATTGAAGAAAAAAAGTGTGATTTATATAAATATGTCCTTTTCAATATTTTGAGGACATTTAGTTTTAGTAAGAGCAAAAACAAGACTTTAGCTAGTGGCTATTACTTTGTCCTCAAGCCTTTGAGGGAGAATGCATCTCAACACTTTCTCTCCCTGGATGAACATAAAAGTCTAAAGGGAAGAGGCATTGCACAGCAGTAGAGAGGTGTGGCCACATAGCTCTCATGACAGGTAAACAAGAGGAGGAGCTAGATTACCTGTGCAGAGCTGGCAGTCAGTGCACAGTGAGCATTACACCTGTTGCACTTCCCAGGCTCTCTGTCTGTCTCTCTCTCTTCTCTTCTTTTTCCCCTTGACTGGTCTGAAAGCACATAGGGAGCCTACGGCCACGCCATGGATCCCAGCGAGGCCTGCGGGAGTGAGAAGGAGAAGGAAAAAGAGAAGGAGAAAGTAATAAAGAGGAGGAACCGGCCTGTGTTTCTGCGTTATCTGGAGAGGAGAAGGACGGACACTATTGTGGCTGATGACTCGGCCAAAGGTGACATCAACCTGGGAACACTCGTGAGGAGGAGTCAGTCAGACAAGACAGAATACAGCGCCAAACTTAAAGGTACACCAGCTATGACCTCCCCAGAGGTCAAAACTATGGCAACAATCTATACATACGTGAACCAACTTTTAGTCTGAAAGGCTCTCAAGTCTTTACATCTCAAATTAGTTGGTGACACACTGACCAGGAGAACTTTTAGGTGAATAGATCCACTATAGATGGACTGTAAGAGTAGCTTAAATGGCTTGAGGGCAAATCTTCAACACACACACACACACACACACACACACTGTGCACTGCTCTAGCTCTGGGTACTGGGCACCTGTTGTGTTACTATGTGTTGAGCAGGAGATACTCCCACAGGGATGAAGCCACATATGCAAACTGTGCTCCAAACTCAGGCACAGAGGAGTGGCTTTAAAAGTGTTCCAGGCCAGCAAGTAAACAAGAATGATACACCAATGAAGTGGGAAGAAGGATTTTCAGATTATTTTTCAAGTTTAACAAAAACGTTTCAAGAGACGTAAGACATTTGGTCTTACAGTTTGGTTTACACTGATCGTAACATGCAAAAAACTTGTTATGTGTTTGACCCGGAAAGTAATAACTCGCTGAAAAGGAGAGTTGTGATAAAAAAAACAATGATTAATCCAGTTGTATGTTGCCTCATCTGCTGACATAGTCTTTTTACAGATTCGCATCCACATTTTAGAAAAACTGGCTTCACCTGTCCTTGGAGTGCAATCATTGACTGGGAATGCTGCACTTCAGGCAAAATGATTGACATCACTGTGTCGACGGGGGGGGGTTACTATTTAAGATTAGCCAAAGTATGTTGGCTTTCCTGTGCCACTTGTTCAATGGGCTTCCTTTCCTGTGAAGTAACATCGCGTGCCAAAATGACTAGTGACACCTAAATTTTAAGTATAACCAGCTTTTCATTAGGTGTTGTACTGATAACACACACACACACGCACACACACGCACTTGCCTTATCAGCAGCTGTTCTGTTTACTTAAACAGAGACACTCTCTACTCTTTACTTACTTTATGTTTTCTTGACCAACCTACCATCACAGGGTTGTCAAAGAACTCTGGGGTTTTTTCGGTAAACCAATCACACACCCTTTTTAACATTATCCTCACACCTGAAAAGCAGTATTACATATTTACAGTGGCATTACCATTGCAAATATTGACAGAACAATGACTTCACCAAAAGAGGAAACATGTGAGCTGCTGCTTGACAGTCCGTTCTCAGCTGCTTGTCAGACAGGTTGGTCGAGTCACAGAACCATGGTAACGTGACATAAATATGTCTAATTATTTACAGTAACTAAATGTAAGAGTTCTGAGAATGATTTGCCAGCACAAAACTCACACAAAGGGGCACCAATAAACCAAATATTCCTTTGTATTTATCCACAAAGCATGCATTTAACAGGTTATTTTGATGTGGGTTTATATTGTTTGAGGACTGAAGTCTTTCACACTCTGTGCGTGAGTGTGTGTGACCTAGAGACTTTTTTGGCATTGAACAATTTGTGGGATTTTTTAAAAATTAGACAATGGTAACACTTACTTAATACTACTTATTAAGATAAATATCCTTTCAGTGAAACAAAATCCTTTACGCAACTATATTTAATAGCCATTTTCGGACTTTATTCAACAATTTATCCAAAGTATGTTCTCAGTATTCCCAGTGATAAAATCCCATTCTGCACTTTTCTGTGTCACAAAGTCTAACGTTCAATTTTTCTTGATGTTGATACATGATACAACATGCCTTGTATTCTGTTCTGGGGCTGTCTGCTCGAACCCTTTCAATGCACTGTGTAGTGAAAAGCCCTGTATCCACTTTCATGGGAGCTCCTGTGCCGGCAACCATACCTCACCAAACATAATGCTGGCAAAAGGATAAGTCAGCACAGTTTGACATCTGCTGCTGAGTCGTCATAGGCTTATAATACATTGGATTTTTTGTAACATTGTGAATGTGTAAGTGGGGAGGAATCTTTTCAAGGTTAGTTTTGAATGGCACAACTCCTTCTGAGAGAATCTTTGTCATTTCTCCTGTTATGAATTTGAACAGTGGCAACAAAAGATTGGAGTAAAAGGTGTTGATGTACGAAAAGAGCTGAAACCAGATTAAAAATAGAACAGGCTTCTGTCCAACGAGCCTCCAAATACCACATCTGATCTCTCATCAAAGGGGACTTTTCTCACGGGTGGAGGTTTTCAGTGATTCTTGGGTCTCTTTTCACACTAAAAAGCCTACATAGACACATGACACTTAATGATAGCGTTGAAACATGAGCGTGATACATAACATTTCCACTGTTTCTCTGATGCTCCTATAATGAAAAATGTTATTCCACAGTAAAATGATGGAAATATATTTAGCAGGGGTTTTTATTTAGCTTCATTAGACTCATACAGTGGATAACCATGTCTGTTTCTCGAAGTACTATCAGGCATTGATGAGTTAATTAACAACTGCTGAAGGAAAAGGCATATGACTGCAGTTTTGGTTTAATGATGAGCTGTACACACTGAGTTTACTAAATATGTTTTACTTATAAGGTAAGAGCCAAAGAAACTGAATTCAGAAGTAATCTTCTTCTTTATGAATTTCACCATTGCATTGCTATTCTTGTCATTCAGACAAGATGAAAACAAAAGTGGGGAGGAGGGTGTAGCGGCTTCAACTGAAACACAGTTACTGTACAAAAGGGGACTACATTTAAACCAGGTATTAAAAGGGGATCTGATTCAAGAAGGGTGGCAGGTTGGGGGGTTGGGAACACCTGTTCAATTGAACACAATAGTCCTTAAAATTAATATTACCTTTGTGAAGTTCACAATCCTCAGTTTTTGTTGAGATTATCCGTCAAGATTTTCAGAGTGGCGATGATTCACCTCTGCGGGTGAAGAAAAGTGTAACTGCATGCAGTGTTGCAAGCAGAATGTGATCAGATCTCTGCCAGAGTCAGCCACGTGTGAACACAATCTGTGCAGTGTTCGCATTCATGAGAAAGTTCTGCCCACTGGGCAGAAACACATGGCCCATTCTACTCAGTTTCACCAAAAGGCAGCTACTAGTTACTGTACCTTTCCTTTATGGACAACACTGTAGTGGCATTCACATCATCTGCAACTTGTCCTTCCTGTGGCCTCCAAAATGTCATGATAAGGAAATAGAGAACAAAGAACAATGTCCATACACCTGCCCTACTTGTTTTCTTTGACAGTGTAACTTTCTCACTTTTTTACATGCTTTGCTTCATGTGCACAAAATGAGATCCGGTCCAAACCCTATAAAGTAATGTGCACAAACAAATACCAGGTGTAAATTTAAAAGGTGTGACTGGATTGCTAATACATAAAGTATTAATTTTGCAAATGCCTTGGGTGCAACTAAATATACTGTAATGAAGGTTGTGGTAATATTGTGTACATACACATTTTTATCTTTTTGTGCGTGTGTGTGCAAAATGAGCAAGCTGGGGCAATACATTTAGTTGTATGTGCATGTATTGCTATGTGAATCAGTGTCAGTGTGTGTGTGTGTTCTTGCAGGTGTGTGCCTGTATACTGGGATACAGAATTTTGTGCTACGCACTTGGATGTACATTTATCATTGAGAGCCCCCCCCCCCCCAACACACTCCCAGTCTGAGCAGATGAAATGCCTGAGCACGCTGTAGCATTACATCAGCGGCACGATTAGTTCTGTAACCTGACACGGGCCTCGCAGCCTTCTGTCTCACTCCCTCCATCTCTCTCACTCTCTCTCTCTCCATCGCCCCCTCCAGAGAAGGAAGTGGTGTGTAGTGTTGATTAGGCAGCAAGGAAGCATCCCTCTTCCCTGAACAGACACTCCTGCATGCCATGCAAAGCAGAGAGCAGCCACAGACTGATTAGGCAGCAGAGCAATAAAAAAAGAGAAGTGAGCCTGACTGGCATGTTAAGTGAGGCCTTTTGGCGCTCGAGTCAAAATAATTAGATCACCGTGAAATACGGTGATCTAAATCGCTGTTAGGGCTTCAAGCGTGTATGTTAGAGGAGATATAGGTTTTTCCAACCATGCACAGCCCACAGGGCCACAATGTTTACCAGCATTTTAGAAAATGTGCCATTGATTACTTGAAATGCTGGCAAAAAGGTAATTTTTGGGGGGTAAATTGCAGATTTACAGCAAATGTAGGCACACTCAAATATTCTGTTTTCTATGCCCTTATGTGACCTGTATGACTCATTAGGCCAGATACTGTGACTGGCCACGTAAAAGTAGGTGGGAAAAAATTACACCTAAACTTATTTTATAATAATTTTATACTTCGATCTTTTCTCAGAGAAAATGACACCACATGACCTGTCCACACCCCCCTCTCCAGCAATGGACCCAGAGGAGGTCCGGTTGAGGAAGATGAATCGCAGGGCAAAGGTCATTCAGGAGCTTGTGCAGACTGAAAAAGACTACCTCACAGACCTGGAGCTGTGCATCAGAGAGGTGGTCCAGCCTCTACGGAATTTGCAGGTAGATGCTTTTCAGAATCCCCGATGAAGTATCTTGCAGGCTAGTGTTTTTAACCCCACCAGTGTCTACACATGCAACAAAGGAAGTCAGTCATATTTTCAAATGGTACCATTTTATTAAAACAAAACTACTACAGCTATTACTTTAATGTTAGCCTAACCTGACCTTATTTCTAACATTAACACCAGCCATAACACTACGCTGATTCACATTGTGTGAATCAGTTTAAACTTTAGAGATTTTTACAACAGATAATCAGGAATCAACATTGGACTATTCAGATTAATCAACAGGTGACTGAATAAATGCCTGCTTATTTATACAGTGAAAAAAAGATTCTGGTTTATTGTGTACTATGAGCATTTTTGATATTCATTTGCATTGAAATCCATCATTTTATACTATAGTTTCCCTATCCTCTGTCAGGTTGTGGATGTAGACAGGTTGTTCACCAACATGGAGATACTGTGTGAGGTATCTGCAACACTTCTTCACAGAATGTATGAGGCCATGGCTGACCCTGATCTAGAAGCAGTTGTCATAGGTAATGCCACAATGACTCTCGCCGGATTTCATTATGTGTTGACTTTTACTGCTGTGGTTTATGTTGAACAAAGGATCTAATGTACTATTTCTATTCGAAGGAGAAGTATTCATCCAGGCGAAGGCAGCTTTAGAAGATGTATATAAGGTTTACTGTTACCATCATGATGACGCCAACATGGCACTCAAATCCTATGAGAAAGAAGAAGAAATAAAACAACATTTCAACACATGTGTATTAGCTCTAAAGTAAGTTTTTTTTTTTTCAAATTAGTCATACCTAATAACTCTGATATTCAAAGCATTATAATTTACTGTGTATAATCTTGGAAGTGACTGTGTTTCTTTGTCTTTGTAATTACAGGAAAATTTATGACCAAGAGTAAGCACCCTTTTGATTCCATATTAAATATACTGTCATATGTATATGTTTTTATATTTTCTTTTCTGAATATCTGTAGGTCATAACAGTTCATGTTGATCATTGTTTACTGTATGATCTACTCATCTGCACAGAGGGAAACCCAACTTACTGAACATGGGTTCGCTGCTCATTAAACCTGTGCAGAGGATCATGAAGTACCCGTTGCTGCTCAGAGAGCTGTGGCAGGCCACACCTGAAGACCACCCTGACTATCGGCCACTGCAGGAGGCATTCACTGCTGCCAAGATCATCAACGTAAACATCAATGAGTTCAAAAGACGCAAGGATATAGGTGAGATTTCATTTATACAGGCATATGCACGGGTATATTATCATTGATGTCTGTGAACTGTGAGCACAAAGCAGGCTCATTGTGAATTATCTCCCATGCTGTCCTGTTCATTCTCAGTTATGAAGTATAAGAGGTTGGAAGATGAAGGCACACTGAGGGGCAAACTACACAAGTTCAACATCCACTCTATCCGCAAGAAAGGAGACAGGTTTGCTGGCTATCTCAAGATCCTCACTGGAGTTGAATCCCAGGTAAAACATGGTGGACAAAAACAAACACAACACACAAAATTCCACTCTCACTGTAACTGTAATAAAAACGGAGCACACGGAATGAGGGTTATGAGGCTTGTGGAATCAACAGTTTTTTGCCAAAAGATAATGTCAAATTGATATACAAATTGCAACTTTTATGCAGTTAGTGGTGTAGAGGTGTAGAGTGTGAAACATATTAGTGTAGAAACATACATACATACAGAAGTGTAGAAACATATTATATAGTTAGAGTAACGTAAAGGAGTTTACAGCATTAGTATTTTGGCAATATATTTAAGCTCTTCTTTCCGCAGGTGAGAGATGAAGTATTCGACAGAGAGGAGAAGTTGTTCAGGAGTTTGGAGAAGGCAGTGAGGCAGCTGGTCAAGAATGTTCAATGTTACCTGCAGCACATTGAGGTGGGTACACATTCTTGTTTCCTACTACAAAATTAGTTTTAATGGTTGTATGCTATACACTACTATATATATAATACTTTGTCAACTTTCCTTCTTTGATTTCTTGATGTCTTTTCTGCAGGAGATGGTGTCTGTAGCTGTTCAGAATGTCCAGGACATGGAGAACATCGTCAAGGATCCAAACAAAAATGGCAAAAACGGCTCATCGCACAACAATGGAAATGACCCCTATAAGCACTTTGTATGGTTTCTTTTATAGATTAGTTCTTAATTTACTTTACTGTTCAGCTTTTCTCTCTTCCCTGTCCTCGCTGAATCTTCTGTATTTCTGTCTGTCCTTGCTTTGCTGTCCTGTTCCTACATGACCTCCCATTCACCCTCCAACTGTGCGTCATTTGTCACTTTGCCCACAGCTGTCCATTATATTAATCCTTTTCCTCCGTGCCTCTAACCTTCCTGCTAGATCCTTCTGTAACACTGCCACCTTCCCTTCTCTCTGTAGATTGCAGTGTTGCCAGTTCTGAGATAACTACACCTTTAAAAAAGTTTCTTTCTGTAACAGCTCTTCACTGCAGCAGTGCCTCAAACCAACATCTGTAATGAAATTTACAAAATAAGTGCAGAAGCAACCGCATGTGTACTCTAAGAAGAAAAGCAACAGACAGATTGCGCTATAATCAAAACATGCCAGCTGTAAGCTTTCAGGAAACAGAACATTTTCACCAAAGAAACAGTTATTTATACTTTATGTATCGTGCTACATATTGTATGCTCCACACAATAATAGATGAAGTCTCTTATGTCTATTAAAGTCTTATCGTAAGACTGCATGCAGATCTGTTATTGTTCTGTATTCAAGATTAATGTAGAGGCATCCTTTGCTGTTTCCCCTTGGAGAAAATTGTTACAAATTAGAAACACTGCTGCATACAAAAGCACACTAATACTACCTGTTTACATGTGAAGAATTCATAATAGAGTACCTAAAATGTGTAGACTGATACTGGATATCTCTATTCATCTTCTGCCACCTCTTTGACTTCTTCCTCCAGAAAAACAGTATGGAGCGCTTGGTCCTCGCCCCACTCTCCTCCCTGCAAGGCATGTTCACAGCGCCACAGAAGCTCATCCAGAAGCGTTATGACAAATTGCTGGATTACTGCAGCCGCCTGGAGCGCTCCTCTTCTTCTTCATCCTCATCATCCACCACTTCTTCCTCTCCTTCGCTGGTGTCAGAAGACCCGCCTAGTCACGCCAGGCGGGACTATGAAGCTCTCAACGCCTTGCTAGTGGAGGAGTTGCAGAGGTACAACATGGCTGCCTATACTATCCTGACCAACTGTGTGCTTTATCTAGTGGCCCTGCTCAGAGGGATGATGGATAAAATACTACGTTGTTCTCCGTCCATACAGCAGATACCAGTAAGGATTCCACACATAAATCAAATTATTAGACACAATTTACTGAAACTAAAATGTTCTATGTTTGTCGTTTCAGGCTCCATTGTCAAACATTGCTGAAGTGCAGAACAGCATCATGGATGAGCTGAACAATTTGACTTTTGTCAAGGATAACGCACAGAAGTTAATGGAGCGAAAGGTCAGCTTCGAGAGACAACGTGACAAGAAAATAGCGGTAAGAAAGAGGAAATAATCTAGAATAGATTATTAGGTACACATCTAGAGACTAAAAAGTGCATTATGGCCCTCAAATGGCACTATTTAGATCCATCCTCACTTGTGTAAGCGTCTGTAAACTTCTCATTGACTCCAGGTCAAAACACAAGTCCCACATGTTCCTCCGAGACTTTCAAAATGTCTTGAACCAATTCCAAGCCATAAATGAGCAGCTATAAGTCTTATCAAAGGCAGACACAGAGAACAGCTTTAGGCTGTGATTACCTGGGGCACTTCAATCAATCCCCTGAGACTCTGTATGTACATGTGTGTAGGTGTACACATGCATACACACCTGTACATATATGAGAGTGTGCTTGGACATGTGATGGATCTATTTGAAACTCTTTCCCCCAGGAGCTTAGTGATCACCAACAACATGTGCCCACACACCAGACCCACTTCAAATAAATACACCAACCCTCCTTTGTGCTGTGCTCTCCTCCAGATTCCTGAGGTGCAGCATCAAACTGACGAAGAGCGCACCAGGCTGCTAGCAGAACACCCACCTAGCCGTCTGTATCAGCTGAAGAGGAAGTGTAATGGCTGCCAGGACCAGGACCTCAGCCTGCTGGAGGGAGAGCTGGTGGCCCTGCTGGAGGACACTGACCCATTAGGCAGCAGCAGCCGCTGGCTGGTTCACACCGGAGGCAAGTGGGTGTATGTGTGTGTGCATAAGGACAAAGACCTTCAGGGCAGAGACTGTAGCTCTTGGCGCATTCTAAGACATAAAAAGGTGAATAAAGTTATCACACTAGATCTGCAGGTATGGTCGTTATACGTCTCCTTAAATACGCATTCCTCTGTGAACACACCTGCATCGATTAGATGACTGAGGCTGTGTAGACACACCAAACTTTACTTTCTGACACCGACAAGTCATCACACAAGAATCAGCCTCAGGGGCTCCTGTGATGTCATGGTTGCCGGTACATCCTCTGGAGATGGTTGCCTCACAACAGGGCCAACTCCATAGCATGTCTCCATCTCCCCTCTACGTCTTGCAGAGGCACCTGAGATCCCAATGTCTTGTTTGGAACAAACCGCTGCACGTTGTAAGCAGTGTTACTTAGAGTACAAAGCCTCTCCCTATGGGTATTCGGAAACAAGGACAGAGAGATGCTGCTTGCGCGCCTCTCTATACTCGGCAATAACAAGTTCTTTTTTTATGAGCTCTAAGAAAAAAAAGTGTGTGTATGTTTCTTGGTATGAAGAACATTCTTCACAGACTTCTCTTTTCCTCCGGGATTACAAGCATTCCCCGGATGTTGTTGTTCATTCTTCTGTTGATATCAACACTATGAATATGCTTGCCTCATATTTACACATTCTTCAGTTCACTCATGGATGGATTGTTGTGTAAGCGATTTAGGACTGTGTATGCGAGTCTAGCTTATGCTTACAACCTTAGTTTATGACGTGGAGTCCCACATATTAAACACACATTTAATCCTCCAGAAATTATGCAAATTTATTTTCATGAGGCAGTTTTTTGATTAACAAAAGAAAATGTCTTATTATGTATAGATTGTCCTGTAATTACTTTGCTGTTAGACATTTAAAAAGTCAGGTAACCCAAATAAAATTATCTTATCACTGCATCTAGCCACAGAGATAGATTGGGGTTTTATTTGCCAAGGTTTTGTTGTCCACCTCTGAGATTTGTCTCCTTCCAAATAGGATGTGAATGGAATTTTGATTACAGTGCCTTAATAATTTGAAAAAACACATTCAAGACTCCCTAGTTACTATAGGATAATCCACAGACGTCACTGAGAACACTTATTGGAAATAAATTCTACTGAAGAAATAGTTTGTATAAAAAAGGTTGACAGGCTGCTCTGTGGATTATCCAGAATAACTGGGACACTGTTAATGTCACTAGAAGAAAGTCAGTATTACTATTTTTATTATTTTGTAATTAAACTCACTCAGAAGTCAGGCATCCTGACAAACTGTCCCTTTGTGCCACTGTTAGGTAAACAGGGCTACGTCTACTCCACATTCCTGAAGCAGTACAACCCTCTGAGGGACTCCCAGCGGGCAGGCCAGATAGTCAAAGAGCAGCAACAACAGCAGCAGCCGCCTGCCATGGTGGAAGACTTTGACGACCTCAGCCTGTTTGTGTCAGGCAGTGGCAGCAGCAGCCTGCGCAGCTTCAATCTCAACACAACTGACAGCAGCTCCACCCTCGCTGGACTACAGAGAGAGCCAGAGATCCCTGAAGACCTGGAGGAAACACTGGACAAGGAGGCTCAGCAGGTGTGATGATTTTCAGAACTGGTGATGCATACAGGTGTTTTTATAAGGATACCGCAGTGTTAAGGGCTGGGAAGACAGGTAAAACAACTTGCCGAGGTCAGTTTGGTCTTCAGCTTGAGACTGTTCTCAAGGTCAAGAAGATCAATGTCCTTTGAAAGTTTTTGCAGCAGAAAGACTATGCCAGCATGTGCAAGAGTGTGTGTACATACAAACACTTTTAAATGGACCAAGCACTATCAGGAATTTAGAAAAAAAATAAAGGCACAAAACTGACACACAGCAAACCACACACCACATAAACATCATAATTGCAGTAAAGGCCCAGTAAGCCAACTTTAACTGGGTTTCTAACAGCCCATAAGAGCCTCTTCACATATGAGACTCCACCTGAAATACATGAGGGTTCTTATTACAGAGGGTCACTCAAACTGAGGTGTGCCATTTAATAAGACTGGATGAGCAGATATTCTGCCAGTGCTGCGGCATTCACTCGGTAGCTTTACAGTGTTTCTGTCTAGCTGGCACTGAAACAAAATGGGGTGAATGAGATTTCATGATGAGGCCACCACTCTGGATTCAACACTCCTGGACTTTGTCGTCCTTGTATGCCTCTGATCTTAATCATAACATGACACAGTTATTGGTCTTAAAATATAAAATGTTGACAGGGGTCAGTAGATTTTAACCAATGAAAATTAAGGCTGGTGGTAACAATCTGTCACAGAGTAAAGCTAATAAACAGTACCACCATGTGGCCATAACAGGAGGATACACTTGGATATTATTTCATGTCAGTGCAAATTAAGACTTTCTATTTAGCTTTTTTAAAATTTTATTGTGTCATCTACATCTAAATAATGACTCCCCCTCCACCAAAAACAAACAAACAAAAAACCCTGCTGTCAAAATGTCCACAAACATTAGAATAATGTTGTCCCTGATCTGACTTGTGTCTCCTTCCACAGTTCTATGCTGTGTATGCATTTCAAGCGCGCTGTGACCAGGAGCTGACCTTGCAGGAGTACCAGCATGTGCGCATCCTCCAGTTCTGTGACCTGGGAGGCAATACAGACTGGTGGTTAGCTGAAGCTAATGGACAGAGGGGATATGTCCCTGCCAACTACCTTGGCAGGATGTCCTATGCATAAATAGAGGCCCTATATTTATGCATAGGATTTCTGGAAAACCAAACCGTGACATTTTAACTGAAGTAGTCCTGACTGTAAAACATGTCATGGCTTTGTGAAAGTCACAATTGCACTAGGTATCATTTGTTGTTATCACATGTCTCGTACCACAAGTGTTGACGTTGAACGATGTTACTTTGCCTTCAGAAGATCTTAACAAGAGAGCTCACCAATGGGACTTGGCCAGGAATCTGTGATGCATATAAATAATGGTAGGAGAAGCAGGGCACTGTGCTGAGCACTTTTTGTACTTCAGTGTTGTTGACTTTATATTGATAATGAAGTGATTTATTCAGGAAGTAAATTTTATATAAATTATATGTGAACTAATTCACAGATGAAGTAAATGTTATATGTGAAATGATTAATGAAGAATATGTTTTATGTGAATGTGAAATGAAGACATGACTATGACCTTTATATTTTAATAATGACGTCACGATTAAACATGAGCCATTCTCAATTCGTCCCGCAGAATATAATGATTCACAATCAAGGACACCACATGGCACAAAGTTGATGCTACTGCCAATTTACAAGAGGAGATTTAATGATGTTTGTTGATAAAGAGTGAGAGTCACTGTCAATGGTTAGGTTTCTTAGGACAGAACGAGGCATACAGACTCCAGCAGCATTTACACAAAGTAAGATTCAAGTATTTGACTGGATGGTGTTACTCATGTACAGATTCTCTTGTATAACAAACATATTGCTCTGGCACTAATTCCAGGCGTTTACTTTCTACTCCCTCACACCTCCCTCTTGGTTTGTTCTCTCTACCTCTACTCATTTCTTCAGTTTCTTCTGTGCTGCTTTCTTCTTCACCAGCTGTAACCGTTTCATGGCGTTAAGCTGGGACTCTTGGGATGTTGGTGCTTTGTCCCCTGATGCAGCCTTTGACCCATTCCCATTGTTCCCGTTCCCTCCTCCATTACTGCCTCCGTTCCCTCCTGCACTCACCAGGGAGCCGCTGGGGGAACCGGCCCCTGAGGAGGCAGACCCTTTCCCCTGGCTTTCGCCGCTCGACGAACGGTTCAGTGGCTGCTTACCCAGAGTCAGGGGTGGAGGAGGTTTCAGAGGCACCTGGCTAGAGCCGTTTCCATTGCCGTTCCCAGGTATCTTTGCACCTGCAAGTCCTGACTTGGCTCCTGCTAGCCCAGACAGCCCGACAGGTTTCTGGCCAGAGGGAGTTGTCAAGGTCTTGTGGCTCCCACTTGGGCCTGAAGAACCTAGTTTTGAGCTGGTAGGAAGAGATGGGTTCGTCTTGGCGCCAAATGCAGCCCAGCCTGTAAGACCACTGCCTGAGGAGGAGGAGCTGCTGGTGGTGGGATTGGCTGATGTTGATGTGGATGCCTGAAATGATTAACAGTTAACGTTTCATTGTCATATCGTAATAACAAATTTTAAAGTTTTAAGACCTTAAAGGGTAAATTCTGTATTTTGCAACCTGGACCCTATTGTCCCATTACGTTTGCGTGTCTGTGACTAACTGGAACAAACGCCACTGACAGGCTCAGACCGTTATCACAAGTTTCTGACAACATTATGAAAAGGATTCCTAAAGAGATGCCTTTTTTTAAAAGAGTAAGACTGTTTTATCGCAATCGCTATGTCACTCTCATTAAAGCCACAAGACTCCCTTCACACAAAACGTGAAAAATATACTCCCCTTCCCAGGAAACTAAACAAACATTCCCATTTGGCCAAATGTGAGAAAGCCAATGATGGTCGTTCAGACTTTGCCTCAGGTGTCTCCAAAAACCATAACGACTGTCTTCACAACATCCAAGAGCTCTAACAAACCAAGCGATATCGATCATTGTGACAACTCTACAGTAGGTTAAATAGCTAAAAATACCTAACTTATACACCAGTATCTCTGGAGTTCTGGTTATATTTGATCATTTCAAAAATAAGATATGTTTTTCTTATTATCTGAAACTAATTTACCACTTAAAGGTATGAGTTAATCCAACTTTAGATGCATATCACATTTGTGGAACCTTCAGTGCATTACCTGATTTCATTGACGTAATAATTTTGCTTCGGTATACCCACCTCTTCTAGTACTTTACATATCATCAAGAAATATGTTCTATAACCACCATAAAAAGGGACTCAACCTTTATGCTTTCAAACAAAATGTGCCGCATTCAAACCAACCACGAATTTTCTCCTCTCGACGCTTTCCTCGCGTGAGTACATTCGCTGCAAGTGTTCACACACAACGCGAGAAGGCAATTTTAACGCGGAAACGTGAATAAACACAAGTTGCCATTACTACAGCTGTATGAACCTAAAGTAAATATTTTGCTGTGATTAAATAGCAATAGACGGATTAAACTGATGCCGAAATAACTACAACATGATGCAGATTTGTTAAACATATGAATTCATACTTTGTCAGGTCTGTCAATGGGGTTCGGATCGATCAGGGCTTTTCTATGCTAACTTGGTCACAGTAAAGTACAATGATAGCTGGAATAAAGTTACAGACACATGTTTTCTGAACTCACCAGGTAGCTCAACCTCCTCGCTTTCTTCTCTCCAAGTAATGTCCAGTTTTTATATAAATATGAAGTCGTAGTCCGACAGAGCTAACAACGCTAACAACACCACTGGAACCGGATGTGCACGGAAGCAAGCTGCTGAGAAGCTCCAGAGAAGATAAATCAACGTTGTAATCCCAAAAACTAAAGTAAAAAGCCAATTTAATAAAAGCAGTTTACTCCGAGCTCCTCCCACAAGTAAACGGCATAGTTGTTAGAGCCTTCCAGTCCGACTACGGGTGTTTATTTGTCCAAAGGTTGCAGCGCTGCTCCCTGCTCCTCTACCCCAAGTTTAGCAGCTCTCAGCCGGCCAGCAGATTTTCTATCCCCCGCTCTGCCTGGCCCTCTCCACACGACTCTGAAGCCGTCGATGACGTATGGACAATCTCAACACTGATAGGCTATCGCGACTCAGCGTCATGCGACTTACTCGTTGAAAATATTTGCCGGCCCCGCCCCCTTCGCGCCGCCCAACAGGAAATCGCAGCTCTATGCGTCTTTGCATTGAATTTGTATGTAAACTAACCGCCCCAAACGCTCGCTTCGCTTTTGGTCTGAAAGCACCATTAGCTTGTGAATATGCCATTAAAAAACAAAAGAAACACATAAATCCCAGTGGATAACACACTATGAGAGTGTAGCAAAGTACGATCCAGCAGATATCACTACTTAGTAGAGGCCAAAAATGACTCATTACAAGACCATAAGTGTATTAATCCACTGAAAATTAATCCCCAAAATGTACCATTTACTCCTGTTTGAGTAATGTCTGCTAAAAAGCTATATTACCTTGACATTTTTAGGAAATTACTAAATCTTTTTATAAAAATGTAACTATATATTTTTGACCTGTTTTCACACAGTGCCAAAGACAAGGTAGGGAAGTCAGAAAGTATTGAGAGGCGGGCTGTTGGGACTGTTACAATAACAATTACACCAGCCTCATCCTTTATACATATCTACAGATCACTGTGCAGTAGAGCAAATACATATTTATTAAGATATGTCAATCAGCAGATGAACCTGTAAGCTAGACAATGCCTCAACTTGCTTACTTGAGCAATTCTTTTATTGAAAACTGAGAGGGAAAAAAAAAGGGGGGGGGGGCACTCCCGCTCTGACTTGAATTAACATAATCAAAATCACGACTACGAGGCAACATGTTTGCTGTTAAAATAACTTTACGGTGAACTCCAATAAGTAAAAGTCCTCCATCTGGAGAAATAATACCGTACTGGAACCTATCTAAGCAGCAAGTGTTCGTGGAGTGATCCTTAAAAGTAAATTTGATCTTTCTGCTCACTTTCCTCTGCAGGGATTGAGGTAGACTGCCTTTTAAGGCAGACTACATGACTTTCAGCATCTGCCAATCGCCCTGCTGTTCACACTACACAACTGTCTTGTGACCAGAATCTTGATGTCATTGTGCCGTTCACACTACGTGACTGATAGGTGACATAGGGTCACACACTACACAAGCTGACAGCTGCTCTGTCGCCCGACGCAGGTCTCCAAACTACGTTTTGTCAAGAAAACATGTGAAATGTGAAACGGGAAATGATGCGAACCTACACATGAAACAGCTGTTGTTTGTTATTATGAAGCTAGGAATTATACATACAAACAATATGGGTGAACGAATGGATTAGCACACGCAAGTAGCAGGGATTGTCTGTGCTACAGAGAGAGCTGGAGGTGAGTAAAAAGTAGCTGCCTGCTTTGCCAGCTGCCTGCTCTCATTGGCTGGATGTGGATGTCAAGTCGGCCGACTCCTCCAGATATTTGGCATGCTAGATATCTGGCTGGCATCTGAGATGTGTCAGAAATGTGTCGGGGAACCATTTTGATGCGTCGTTGAGTAGTTCACACATAACGACTGGCGGTAGCCGATCGATCGCACATTCACCCCCGATCACAGCCCGATGGGCTTACAATAGTGTGAACTAGGCTTTAGAGGCACGCTCACATGCTACCAGTAATAATTCAGGGACACAGAATCCTGGTTTATGCTTGACTTCAGTTTGACACAGGAGCACATATTATTGTGGATTAAAAAAAGGTTGGAAAAACGCTTCTTTAGGATTGAGCTATTTGGGAAATCAACTCCCCCTATAAATGATACCTGGCACACAGCCGTAATTAGTAAACACATACCTTCACTTCTGTTCTTTTGAAGGCTTGGAAGGTGCTGGCTGTGTCAGGCTTGGCTTTAAGCTCTGCCTTTTTCACCAGTGTGTCTTTTACAACAGGCGCAGATGATGCAGATGCTGGGGATGGCTTCTGTGGAGGTTTCTGGGCCTAATGGTTCAAACAAATATCGTTTTAGACAGAAACAATATTAATAAAGAAACTATAACACTGATCAGTCACATACTCAAAGATGACGCACAAAAAACAAACAAACGCTGGAATATAATTTATTTTCCTCACCATACGTTTCATTTGCCTGGTGCAACGCGCACAATACCACACAAGCCGTGGATCATTTACTTCTTTGTCTGTCACTTGGGGCTTGTGACAGTCCTGGTGGTAGAGATTATGGCACTCCTGGCACTCAACCAACTGGTTTCCCATGGACACTGTCATTTGTCTTAGACAAAGAAAAACACACAACAGCAATGTCAACATTATAATGGTAAAAACCCTTTCCATGCTCAATGATTAAGTAGAGTTAATATTAATAATGACAGTGGAATGCAAACAAAAATCCTGGACTATTGAGATGAGAAAAACTACATTTATTGTATTTGCTAATAATTCAGATGTACCTGCAGACCACACAAGCCAGGCCCATTTCCATGGCAAAGTCATCAGCATTGGTCTCATCATAGTCATTTATGTTTGGCAGAAGGTCTTTGCTCGTCTGAACGGTAATTGGTGAAGAACGATTCTCCTGTTTATCCAAACGAGGCTTTTTCGGAGGGTCCACCTCACCCAAGTCAACCCTGACCTGTTTGTCAGTAAGAAAGAAAGAGGTACGTTTAGACAATGTGGGATGATGATGCATTGCCATAAGGACCAACGCTTGCAAACTGTAGCCACCTTATTCATTATACTGTCCTATATGGAGGGATGCATGTGTTGCCCTTTAAAAAAGGAAGACTCTGGGCTCAATTCTGACCTGAACTGGGGTCTGCTTAGGCTTTCTTGCCTGAGAATGCATGTTGTAGGTTTAAAAGAAACTTGAAAAGCAAAACATATAAAAGCCTAGCATTTTTCTTTCAGCCGTCCAGGCTATCAATCCAAAATGTTGCAACAGTCTAAGATATACACACATGTAGTTTTACTTTTGATCATGACTTTCACAATTTATCCTGTGCTACTTCACAAAGGAACGTGTGTTCACAGGCAGATGAACAGGACTGGAACATAGCTGACAAAAGAAAAAACAAATGAATGGTTAAGGTAGCCTCAAAAATATGGTTTTATTTTGGAGGGTAATTGTTTTCCTATAGGAAGATATTGGATAATTGACTCAACTTTGCATGTAAGAGTGTCAAAAATGGTCAGAGTTCTGCTTTAAGATCTTTTTGAGCATGAGACTAAATTTATTCTGATTGAAAATGTGTCCCATACCTTCTCAGAGAGTCTCTTCTCTCCCTCTTTCTTGCTTTTTTCCGAGCTGGATTTGCTACTGCCACTGCTGCTGCTGGAGGATGAGGAACTTGAGGAGGACTTGGAGTCCTGTTTACTTAGGCTCAGTTTTGACACAGACCCTTTGGACACCTCTATATCCTGAGGATACAATGATACAGTAATACAGAATGTATAGCATTTAGTTGTTATTATATACCAATGCAACTAAAGAGAACAATAACATGGTACAGTGTAAATATATAGACTCAGGCTGTATTACATTAAGAACTCCTTACTTTTTGTAATGAACGGTAGGATGAGTCACTTCCTCTTGAAAGCGACTCATCTAGTAAAGCTTTGAGTTTCTCAGCTGAGTCTTTACTCTTGGAGTGCAGGTAACTCAGTCCCTTCAGGAAGATGGGATCCAACTCCAGACTGACAGGTCCAGCCATGGCTTAAACTGTGAATCATGAAATAATGTGAGCTTTTCAGGCTTTGGTTACAACTTCATCAAATACCACTGCTACGGTCAAGTTAAGTCAAAGCAGAAACAGAAACAAACAGGCGAAAGCAAACCCCCTGAAGGGAGGGCAAGACACTATAAAGCGTTCACTCCGATGCGTAGTTTGACATCAACGTGCCCTAAAATTAGATTTTATTTCCTAGTGGGAATTTTATTTTTGTAGTTGGGATGGTCATCACTGACCTACGCCTATGGGTTGAGCCCCAAATGTCCGGATTCCGTCTGCTGGGGTTTTTATATAAAGAAATGCGTACGCTAACGTTGAGTTAATTTGGTGCTCTGTAAGGTTTAGTCCGGACCAGAAACTCAGAGCACTGTGATAGCCGTACACCGTAGCTAAAGTTACCTTCCCCGACAGCTGTCAGTTAATGTTACAACACCAAATTCACAGATTATTATTTTCAGATGTCTTACATTACCTCACACTCTGCTTCTGCTGAAAGACTGCCCCTTACACTGGTGTTTTCGTTTAGATGAACAACTAACGTCTGAACAACACTTCCTACAAAAGAAGCAGACAGCCGGGGCGGACGCTTTCCCTTCGTTTTACAATACGTGCAACAGTCAAATGTGTCCAGAAACTACACGCGCGGAACCTTTTGTGGAAACTATTTTTTTTTTCTTTTTCAAAGATATTACAGAACTTTACGCTCTGCATTTCTTATATAATTATATGCGTCACGTATAAGTATTTGGTTGATGTAGAAGTTTAATATAAATGTGCATTGGTATTGATTCGTAAGTTTCGACAGCAGACAGCTGATGGCGCTGTGGAACTAGCCTAGCTTTAGCACACGGAAAGAAGAAGCAGCACAGCGTGAGGAAGCGTGTACCATAACAACGTGGTTGTACTGAAATTACCGGTGTATATGTCCACATTACTAACGCTGTTGTGAGTATTTATTAACGTCATTTTATGCGCCGGATCCGAAATGGTATTTCAGATATCACGTTCTTGCTGCCATACTTGATAAGACACCTGGACACATTTCCATAGCTTGTTAACGTCCCTTTGTTTTACTCCACAGTAACGTTACTGTTTAATATGACGCACACAGAGGCAAAGCAACAGCATCCCTCCCTCTATCTAGAAGTGTGTTCCCCAAACGAGGAGCCGCGTCTTCCGGTGCACACCTCCATCGCCCTGTTTCTACTGTCCTACTGCGAGTGCACGTCTTTCAAAGTTTTTCTGGTGTTCACTAAACCTGCCAGCACCCATTCACTGAAGAGCCAGCTAGCAGGGTCTCTGGATGTGTCTGACATTCAGTTGGAAGATCTGCCCCACTTGGTGAGGGGCTGCCGTCTCCCTGCTGCTCTGGATGAGACTGGGAAGCTCTGCAGGGCAGGGCTGGCGGTGGTCCTGAGACACATCATCAGCAAGACCTTAGAGGCGGACCCTTCTAGGAATGATGTGTTGGCACTGCTAGGTTTCAAGAAGACCTGTCTGAAGGCCTGTGCTGAGGTTAGTGGCAAGCAGGGGGCACGCATGACCAAAGTACAAAGAAGAAAAGAAGTGCATGGAGAACACTGGCAGTATCAAGACCAAGTTTATTGTGAGACCTATGCATTTCGTCTTGTGGCATTGTCTCATGAGTTTTGACCCTTTAACTGGAGTCAGTATCAAAACAGCATCACTGCTGTGAATCCAGATTGTAAACATATTGATTTACAGTACAGTGTGCATGAACATGTTTCTCGTCCAAAGACAGTGTCCAAGATGTGATAGGATACTATCTATACTGATTTAGCATACATAGTGGAATAATGTCAAATTGTGTTAGTGTCAGCCAATCACATTGTTATGCAGTATGCAGTAACAGTTAAAATTAAGGTTCCATAATTTCCTAGAAAGAAGCTGATACACTGTAAATTCATCTGAATGTTTCTGAAAAGGACTGGAATTTAATAATCAGAGAAATAATAATTCATAATTGATTCTAATTAATTGCTAGTTAACCTGGTCTTTTAGTCGGAGCACAGCAGGTCAGCTGAACATGCAAACATGTAAAACTTGTCTACAGGCAACCATGCAATTCACCATTTATAATAATAATAATAAATGAATGAATTCATATTTAGTTGTGTTTCAATAGAACATCGAACAGTACTCAAAACAATTGCCTCACAACTTTGTCTCAGTTATTCCTAACATTGGGTACCAAATTACATAACTTCCTAGGAGTTTATTAGTAAATTTACAAACCTTTACAGGGTATATGGAATTTGCAGCTTAACATATCACAATGAACAAATGAACAGTTAACCATTGTTATTCAGTTCTGAGTGCTTTTAAAGACAGTGCTGTATTTGACCTCAAACATCTTTTCTTTCCTCACTCTCAGGTGAGCAAGTGGACCAGACTGTGTGAAATTGGCATCCCCTCTGCTATTGAAGAACACCTCAAAAATCCCTCAAATCAATATCAGCAGCTGCCCCTCTCTATCCTCACCCTGGAGCAAAGGCTAGCAGAGCCTGTCAAAGTCCACAATGATGACAAAATACGGAGACAGAAACTCCAAGAGCAGAGACAGAATGAAAAGAATGAGTCCCCCAAAGGCAGAGGGAACCCAGATTCTGAGTCCGCACCTGGACAGGCACCTCAGGTGTGTGACGGACTTGAGCTCAGGGCGGCTCTGGCCAAGCTGTCTGTGGATTCAGTTCCAACTTTGACCACCAGAGAGAACTCTGAGATCAGGAAAGTGAAGACCACAGACCTGCCTCTGCTTGAGCATGTGTTTGCTGAGGGACTATACTTCACTCTGACTGATGTGGTGCTGCTGCCGTGCATCTATCAGTACTTGGTAAGGGCCCTGGAGCTTATGATTTATGTTTGAGTGTTTTCAGTAATGAACACTTGTGGCAAAGGATCCTGCTCTTATTATTGCGTTAAGTTATCGCCTAATTTGGCTCCATGAATGCACATCAAAATGCTCATTTAATTCTATTATCACTGCCTATATTTCCTGTATAAGCCGTATACAGTAAATTTTGTAAAGCTCACAGCGTGGCAGTGCATTGAAAGTAAGAAAAATACCGATTATTGTGCCGTGAGCAATTAAGTGCAGCCATGCAAGGCTTTGTCTCTCAACATAAACGGTAACACACATGACTTAAGTCCGATGTCACCTCATATAGATGGTGCCATTCAGGCTACAGAACCCCCTTTACGTATATATTTACAGGCTTTTTAATGTCGTCATTATGATGACTTGTCAAATTATGCATGACGTGTGGTTTTGACATTCTGGTCAGGGTGAACCACCGGTACACCCAGCTCCTTTCAGACCCATCCAGGCAGAAACTTGAGTTAAGAAGACTCGCTGCATCAGACTTGGCACAGGTTTTGCTCTCAAAGGTGGTCTAGAGCCACCTGGCAAAGAGTGATAAGAGTGTATGGGAGGATTTCTATTCAAATGCAGCAGGTTGAAATGCATTTCAATGACTCTCCTTTTGGGAGAGTTTTTCTCTCTGCAATAGATCAAGAATTTGGTGGGTTGTTATGTTGACCTTAAAACTCTAAACTTCAAAAAAAGAAAATTGAAAAGAAAGAAAAATCGGCAAGACTTCAAAAGCACCCGATCCTTTCCTGAATATTCATTACATACAATGATTGCATACTTTACGAGTAAAGTTGGTAGCGGCAATTAAAGTTACCGCATCGGAGGCCAGAGAGTACCATGGCTGTTTAGTTCAATGGTATATTATTATTATTGATTAGGAATGCCACAATGTCAGGCAGCGAAGTGGATCTCAGCCTCCATTTCACCCCTCAGCCGCCTCCAACTATTCCTCGACTGTGGGAATGAACTGAAGTTCTCACAATGAGGCTTTTAGTAGTCAGCTGTGCTCCAGTAGTTTACAGTTTCACACTCAGCCTAGCGTGTCTCCTCTTAACGGCCATCCCTGGCTGCGACACATGCAGCTACGATGGATCCTTTCCACTCCACCCACTTGTAGTACTGCAGAGTGCACCTTATTCCTCTGTGTTGGCGTCCTTGTCTTTCTTCTGTCTTCCACACACAGTTGCACACGGTGACGCCGCTCCTTTGATCACGTCTCTGTTTTTGCCTTTACCCTCCCCACTTGCCAAGGCTGTTTTGATGTTTTTCTTGCCGGCCCCCTTGTGTCTGTCTGTCCACTAGTGTGATGATGAGTGAATTCTGGTGGAGCCTGACATCTCGCTCCAGTGGAGATGACGTGCCAGATGAGTTGCTTAATCTATATCTCCTTGTGTGTTTTTTTTTTTCTCTTTTCTCTTTTTTTATTGTCTTTGATAGTGTTCCCTCCAAGCCCACGCTGCGAGCACTCTACATCAGCTCCCCCACCTGCTGCGTTGGTACAGCCGTGTTCAGGAGGTGCCTGGGGTCCTCCGGGCAGCCAAGACTTGTGGGATGGCTCTGTCCATCCCTCAGGTCCCCACGTCCAGCCTCCCAGGGCTGTCAGCTGAGGACAAGCCAACTGGCCTACTGGAGCAAGAAGAAGGCCAGGAGATGACCGCACAGCTTCCCTTTGTTGGTGGCCCCAGGCCCACAATGACTAAGCTTAAAGTAAATTATTACATTTCCTTACTTATTTCTCATTATGCTTTAACTCTCTGTGTTTTCCAAACATGTTTGCTTCAACATACACATAAACAGACTGTAAATGTGAGGAGCTGTCTCCCATTGTCCCCTCACAGCACAGATAGAGGGTTTGGAGGCTCCAACTGGTTGTTAACTATTATCCCTGTAATTTTGTGCACCCATTTTCTACTGATGGTGCCTCCAAGAATGTATTTCTAAGTTAATGTTTTGGCTTCTGGCGGACTTTCTTAATTGTTGAATCTTTCGTCTTTCTTCCAGTGCTTAAACGTTAAGTGCTTTCATTCACAGAATTAACATTTTAAAGTTGGCTGTTTAAATGTTTTAGAATGCTTGTCATGACTTTCCTCTCACAGAGGATGTTTGTATGACAGTATAATTATCAGTCAATACTAGGGCTGTGCGATATGACGATATCTATAGTTTGACGATGGAAAAACGTCTATCGTTTACAATTATGCTCTATCGTTTATATCGTTGTGTCGCAAATTCCACACTTTACTGTAATATTTTGGTGAGGGGCGCTATGAAACGCGGTGAAGTTAGCTTCACGTTGGAATTCGACAACTCTCGAATGTCCAACGTAAAACAAATGTCCAACTTGAAATTAACTTCACCGCGGTCCTTTCTTCCCTGGTTTTCCACGCGTGCAGGTGTTGTGGGGAAGAAATTTAATGGACGAGCTACACAACGCTATCCAGCAGTGGCAGCCATCATGTACTTGTCAGTCAGGTAACGTTAAATGACTTGCCCACGGAGATACAGCTTACTTTATAGTTTGCCAAGACATGCTGCTTTTGTGATGTAGTAGCAGGAGATTTATGTGTGTCGTTGTCTGGAGCTGCTGTGCTGCTCTGGGACAGTCTCGTCCTCTCATGTTAGCTTTGCAGCAGCAAGTAGCGTCAGTTTGCTAATCCACAACCTAGCTAACAGTGGTTACATTACTTGCTGTGTCGTTGTTCACTCTATCATGGTATTTGTCATTGAGTTGTATTTCTCCCTTCTAAGTTCTCACTTACCCCTCCTTTATAATGCAGAGAAATATCCAGAGTTCCACTTGGAAATGCCATATTTCATTGAATTTACAAAAAAAGTTCTATATCGCGATATATATCGTTATTGGGATATGGGATATATGGGAAATGACCTACATCGGGAGATGATTTTTTTTGCCATATCGCACAGCCCTATAATACAAAGAGTCCACTGCCCTCAGTGCACAATTTAGTATTCTCAGTGTCTCTCTGTTGCCAGTGCAGACAATGTACATTCAGCGTATCCTTATTTCAGGTGCAATTAAAAAAATGAATACAGTCCAAAACAAAACAAAATTTTATAGCCAGACTAAGTAGTTTATAGTCAAGGCTGAAAATCTTGGTATAAAGAGACAAGACAGCACACAGTACTACTAATATGCCCACGCTGTTAATATGGAGTTGTCTCAGGAAGCATTGGCAAGACACACACACAGTCACACACATTTATAGCTTTCTTAGGTTTATAGCACACCAAATATTGCCCCTGCAAAGTTTTTTGGACTTGCTTCCAGCAGGAGATAAGGAGGCCCAGCTGTTTAAAAGGAAACTGTCTCCTCAGCCCTGAATAACCTCTCACTACCGAGCCTGAGCTTTCAGACTGTTCTTTTGGCCTTGTTGCTCTGCTCTCTCAGCAAAGATATTTCTGTGATTTCCTGCTGGCTAAGTGTCTATAGCAGTGTGATTTTAAGTGACGGAAAGAGAGTAAAGGGAGAAAGAAGGTTCGGAGCAATTCGATGAGGCCGAGTGAGCTGGGTGGTCAGGATGGGATGTGCCTTAAATATGCCCTGTTTTAGTTAGGCACAGATGTGCTCAAATGACAGTTTTCATGGCAGGTTGAAATCAGACATTAAAACTGAGAGGAATGTGTGTGCACAGACAGACACACGCACACAATGCTTACCGTTCTGTCTTTGCCTATAGGGATTACAAGGATGACTGTGTGTCGCCACCATCGTATCTGCACTGCAGCTGTTGTGTTGTTTTGGCCAACATGTGTGTGTGTGCGTGTGTGTGTGTGCGCGCGCGTGTGTGTGCATATGTCCTGGTATATGGCTGTGTGTGTCCCGAGGCAAGTACATGGAGAAAGAGAGGTCTGCCGTCTCACATGGTGACACACGATCCTTCACTGCTGCTAACCAGAGGCACCAGGCTCATTTCGCCACACAATCCACAATATAAATGGCTCATAAACTCTCCCTCTTTCTCACTTCAGTTAACACACACTGATGCATGCCAATCAAACTGCCTGGGCAATGAGCTGTAGAGGCGCAACCCGTGATCCAAATGTAAACAAAAGGGAAGCCCCACCACCAGAATTCAAGACCCAGGATTGAAACCTGGCTGCTATCACTTACAAATTGATTGACATGTCTTTAAATATAATTGGTAACATTAGACAACAATTCAGTCTGTGAAAGCAGTGAAACGCGGGGGTGATCCAGAAAAGGAGGATAAGTGAGTTAACAGGATCAGGTGATTCAAAATTCATGGAAATTTTGCCGGTTTCAGACACTGTCTGTTCCTGAGGAAACGCATGTGCTCACTAGCTATATGGCAGGGTACTAACTTACTTACTCATTTTAATTCTCAGTTTGGAAGAAGGTAGGGCCGGACAATAAAACAATAATTTTTTCAATAACAATATAACAAATGTTCAATAAATATTCAGTAAATGTTTGATTTTATTCACTTGAATCATACACGAATTAGGACTTAATTTTTCTTAAGATGATTATTCTGTTAACTGAAAAAGGTTTTACTCAATTTTACTTAAAGATATTTGTTGACAAAGATTTTATCATAAATATTTTGAATGTTCTATCTCAGATTTGTGATGTGATCCACTGTTTGGCATCAAGTGGTGACCATAAAGAAAAGTTTAAATCACAATTCAGCATCGGGTTTCTTCAACTTTCACTCAGGAGCAAAAATCTGCCTTTAAGCTTGAAAGAAAAAACTATTTGATACTTATCACGAAAATTATCCATATCGAAAGATATGAAACTTTTTATCGTGATAACATTTTTGGCCGTATCGTCCAGCCCTAGAAGAAGGCTTTGGCAATTGCTTACCATTTAAGACTCATCTCTACCAGCTTGAATCTCATTGTTATTGCCTTGCATCGGGTATTCTTTGTGCAACCAAGTTTCCTATTACCAGGTAGTTTCCACCTTAATTCCAACGTCTCAATATGACTGGTGCATTGTGAAAACATGGCCTAACCAACACAGATGTCAATGCTTGATCTTTTGAACCACAGTGCTGCTGCATGGCATTTTTTTACAGAACTATGAGGTTGCTGTTGTTGCAGATGAACTTGATGTTAACCCTTTTTGCCGAACTTGTTTTCATGTTCTAACTCTCAACGATGGGGCCTAACTGGTGTTACCATCTACCAGTCAGAGTCAAACATGCCACTTTCTCCCAGATTCTGCCCTAGCATTCCCCACTTCATTTTATCAAGCCCTTAAGTTATAGTATATTAATAATTTTACTTTCACACAATTAGATTGTCCTTAACATGGTTAGGGCTTTTTTTAAATACGTATACAGATAGGGGGATTTAAATGTAAAGCACAAGCACAACTTACCTGCTTTCATATTTGCTTCATATATATTTTTTCAAGTTTTTTCAATAGAATTAGACATTCAGGTACATCATTTACTATCATGTGGAATAACTTAAAACATAATGAATTGTTTACATAAGGTCTGGGAGTGTTTTAGTACTCGAGAACGGTCTTGGTCTCGAGACCTGTCTTAAGACCACTTTTTGATGGTCTTGTCTCGAACTCGACTGCATTTGTATTCAATCTTGTCTCGGTCTTGGACATTGAGGAGTCGGAATTTTATTTCAAGACCAGTCAAGACCATATCTTTGGGAATATCAATAAATTTATTTTGCATTGTCTGATTTATTTGTTAACATCCTTACTTTGATTGGATGTAAAACGTATTGCTTCAAATGCAACCAATAACCCTAATTAAAAATGTGTTGTTACCGTTAACGACTGTCCCCGCGATGGTAAGCATGTAAAAGTTGAATAAAGATGCTTACGTTGATTTCCGCTCTTAGTGTTTGTATGTAGGTGTTTTAATGAGAAATACCGATGATCTCGTTCCACATTTTATTGTGTGTCATGTAATTTGGGGAACTGGCCTTGGTCTTGGCTTGGTCTCGCCCTCCCTCGGTCTTGGTCTCAACTTGGTCTCAGCTCCTAAAAGTCTTGGTCTTGTCGCGGTCTTGATAAACTCTGGCCTTGGTGTTGACTTGGTCTCGATTTGGGCGGTCTTGACTACAACACTAAGTTCTGGCTTTTCACTACAAATCCAACTTTCTGAAATATCTCGCGAAATATTATCCCGACACCCAGTTACCAAAACATCCAGGTCCATTGCAATGCAATTCAGTACAGCAATTCTCTAATACAGTATATGTGTCAAATACTGTATCAATCAGTTTTAATTGCTGTTGTCACTGTCTCAAAAAGGTCCTAGATTAATGAAAAAGAAGTAGAGAATAGATCATTTTTAAGATAATGTAACACAACAGCACACATTTCAGCTCCAGTGTGTCGTAGTCAACACTATTGCAGGGCTCATACAAGTGTTAATATTTTTTTTTTCTTGTATATGTAATTAATTGATGTGACCAGGCCTGGGTAATATGCTGTTATAGGAGGTATGCTGACATTGTGTTTGCAATACCATTGTACCACTATAATACTATCTTTAGTAGTATAGATGTTTGTTTTATAAACCTCGGTTGTTAAATTATGCATTGCTGCAATAAAGTGTTGTAGTGATAATCAAATAGGAATAAACAATTTTTGAAAAAAGCCCCAACATGAAGGACCTGTTATCAGATTTAATTAGGGGCCAACTTGTGTGAAGGCAAACATTTTTCAACAATTACACTGATTTTCTGCCTTTATCCACTGTGCCGACGCGCATGTTGTTCTAACCCTCTTATCATCAAAGGGTGTGTAGAAAGAGCTAAGTGCGGTGTGGGCTGTTGTTCAGTTGTTCTCTCCTGAGGCAGTAAGAAGTGCACCAGCAGTGGGGTTTCCTCGAGTATAGCTTCAGATCAGTGTGACCAAGGTAACAAAGGGCTTGTTCAAGAAAGGTGCTCTTTAAATCACTTCATTACAGCCATTTGGACCACAGAACCTCAAGGCTGTAGAGACGTATCTATAGTAACGGGTGTATCTGTGTGTTGCTCCCCTAGGAAAATGGCATCGAGGCAGACTTCGCTCCTCATCCCTGCCCTGCCTGGACCCTCCCATGGGACAGCTTACCAGGCGCAATCAACCCCACTGAAGGTGAAAGTCAAATCACTGCGTCAAATCATTGTGTCTCTTCTCTTTGCTTTCCCCATTTTCCATTTGCCCTTCTGAAACTTCCACTCTATTTTAAGCTTTTTGGGATTTTTTGTCTCTCTTTTGTTTTAATGGTTTTTTTGCCTTGTTCTTTACGTCCTTCATATTCACCTTCCTTCTTTAAAACCTCTTCCTCTCAACATTTTTACCTTCTTCTCTTTATCTGTATGCATCTACATCACTCCCTACTCCCTCCCTCTTTTACCTTATTACTTGGTCAAAGTAAAAACAAATGCTATTGACTACTATATAAGGAGCAAGAGCGAGGAATGTGCATAAATATTTGGATAAAACCTTCACATACTACTGGTGCCTGGTGATTTTCAGTGGCACCTTGCTGACCCCCCCCCCCCGCATAAAGAAAAATATTAGCCATTGACACATCGCAGAGCTTTCTATTCAGCCGCAGCTGGATGTTTTTCCACATGAGGCCCTCTTATGAATTTTAAAGTGCTTATCTCGATTTGTTATCCTCCTTATGGTGTGGGGTGCAAGTGTGAAATAGGTCTATGACAGAAACGGATTCTCGCACCGCAGAAACACACACAAACGTGCACACACTTTGGCACTTGCAAGTAATGTGCTATGCCGAACTTGTGCGCATGCCTTAGCGGATACTGATTGCAGCGAGTGCAGTATCTAATAGGCAGTGGAAGGGTTGTTGATTGCTACCCCAGGTGACACTGGTAAAGCAAGGAAAAGAAATCTCTGTGTTTCTTTGTCTCCCTTTCTTTTGCCTATATTGTTTTTCTTCTTATTAGTGAGATGTTTGTGTTGGTAGTTCATGTAGTGCATGTGTAGCAGCAATTTATGAGTGTTATTGTTAATTATAGACATTGGAGGAGGTTGATAAAGACACACATATATACATAATATGAATATTTAGATATTCTCTTATATCTTTATTATTGTCTTATGGATTAATTTGATGCTCCCCTTCATTTTAACTTACGTGGCTGATTCCTCCACTTATTAGAGAACCCGGGTAAATGAAAGTGGAAAGGTATTTCATTATTAAGATACTCTGTATATAGTACCATGAGTTTAGCTTCCTCCCTCCTTCATCTCTTTTTGTTAGTGCCTACTACACATCATTACCTCCTGTAGTATCCTGTTAATGAACTACGGTATAACTTCTAGAGTGATCTAAACAAGAACACAAAATAACCCTAAGTAAGCTCAAACTTTATTTCTATAATACCTTTTAGAACCACGGTTACAACCTACTGGTATGGAATGGTTAAGGAGAGAGTATCAAAACTAAATACCAGCTTTTATAGCTACTGTACACTATCATATGTGAGGGTTTGATGTTTTTCTTTGTCACATGTGATAGTAAACTGAATATTTTAGAGTTTTGGAATATTGGTCTAATAAAACAAGCCACAGCCCAAGGTGGTCTATTGATCACCTTGGGCTGTGTGACATTTCATCAACAAAATGTTGAATCGATAAAATAATTGATAATGAAAATACTCGTTAGTGCAGCACTAATTAATATCACTCTTGTTTTTTTTATTAATTCAACATAACAGAACATGTTTTTGTATGACATTTATGTTCTGATGGTGCGAATATTCCCCACATATCAATCCAGTATCATCTCAGTAAAAACTGTTTTAATTGGTTTATTACTTATTACTAACTGGGGCTATATATAGTGCAGCCAGGCAATATTAGGATTGGTGACACTCTTTAAAAAAACCTTTGTTAGTATATCTGTAAATTTGGGAGACTTGCCCTTCTGCATTGTCTTAAAATTGGGGGACCATTTATAAAAAGGGCTCCGAGTAGCAGACCCCTGACATATCTGTGTTTGAGAGTGTTTTCCTGTAATAGTAGTACAGTACTACAACTGAACGTCAGCACTTTAAACTGATAATCACTGTTTTATTTCAAGTACAACATGCTGGTATAGAGTCAACACAATGAAAAACATTGTCTGACTGCTTTTTGAATGCACTGCACTAGTTGTAATTTTTACAACCATTCGTAGCCTATTAATGTATTCCCACAGTGCTACTTAATCATCTGTTTCTATCCCACAAACCCCACTGACATCTACACAGAAGTGCTCTTCATGATGTGGGCAGTGTATCTATTCTGAGAATGAGAATCACAGAGAGAGGCTAGATTTTAGCTGTCCCACTTTTGTCGACACTCTGCATGATAAACGGCACTGTTGATATCTCCTTCTGCAGTATTGGGCTGGTAGGTAGGTAGCCCCTGTGTTTCAGTACTGTGTAATTAAAGAGGAGCAGAGACGAAAGGCAGCCAATTTGTCCTATACCCCAGCGCGTGGGCTTTCCCATCTATCTGTTCCTACAGTATACACAAATGGCTGCGCACACGCCCACACGTACAGTACTACAGGGAAAATTGCAGTATTTTCCCCTTACGTTTGCATAAATATTTCCATACCTGCAAAACTAATATAACACACACTGTATTGGATTTAAAATGAAACAATGACTAGGTGGTTTAAGTGCTGACTTTCAGCTTTGAGTGTTTACATCCGCATTCAGTACAAATTTTAGGCATCTTTCGGAAGGGTATAAAACATTACAATTTGCACGCCCAATATGGATGTGAACACCTCCAAACGCCCTTAAAGCTGAAAGTCAGTACTGTAACCTTGAAGTAGTTCTTTCATTTAAAATCCATTATGCTGGGAGAGAGCCGAAACTACAAACAATGTATCACTGTCTTGATACTGAACAATTCTCTTAGACTTATAGTACATAGCTACTTCTGCTAACAGATAAGACAATCACACATTCATGCACCTCTAAAAAAAACAATGCTTTATTTATTTTATATATTGCTGCAGTCTGTTGACCCAGCTAATTGGCATTCAGTGGTAACAAATGCTACACACTGATGCGCAGGTATGTACAATCTATACAGGAACAGAAGGACCTTTGTGCATGGGAGCTTTAGGTTTTTGCCCTTCTTGTGTAGCGGGCTGCTTTGCTAAATGTGGCGAGGGCTGTCTGCAGACAGGTAAACAACCGTGTGAACACAGGGGCCATTGTACAGAGCAGCCAACCAATTGTCTGTAGTTCTCTTAATAGAGGGAGGAGGGGAGGTAGTGAATAAAGCGGGTTGGAATGATGGAGTATGTGACAGTTGGAGATTGAGATAGGGGTGAGACAGCATGAAGAGAGACAAGGGTTATCAGGAGAAAACAAGGCAGGGGAAGAAGGGTGAACGAGACAATCGGCCATAAAAAGGCAGGGCTGGTGTGGAAACCGCATACTTGTCATGCTTCAGACATGCTGCTATTAGGTCCTCAAGGGTTGTTTTGGTACAAGAAGATGAGATGATTTCCCCTGTCTTTGTCTTAGGTTACAAGAGTATGACAGAAGTTGAACTGCTGGAGAGAAAACAAGCTCCATTTGTGTCTGTCTCCCTGCTTGGACTACAGCAGAGATTGAGAGTTTATTCTTACACTTGTGTGATTAATATTATTAGATTTTTTGTGTGTGTGTGTGGTTTGGTATACTTAAACAATGTACAGTACCTTGTGGTTATTTGAAGATATGTTATCACCAGTGTTATCCCAGTCATAATACAACACCTTGTGTTTTTTATACAGATTTAACAAGCTAGACCTAATGTGTTAATTAGTGAGCTTTAGAGGTGATGGTAGATTTTGTTACCTCAAGATAGAGCCAAGCTAGCTGCTTCCTCCTGTTTCCAACTGGTTGTACCTTCATATTTACCGTACAGACGTGTTATCTATTTTCTCATCAAACTCTTGGCAAGAAAGCAAAACGCTAATTTCCCAAAATGTTTGCCGCCGCCAAGCAATAGTACTTCTTAAACAACGCATCGATGAATCGTTGAAATAATCTATAGAAGCTTTGAATACTTAAATCATCGTTAGCTGCAGCCCAACACACAACACTGACATATTATCACCTTTAAGAACTTGTTAGGAAATCCACCTGGCAAAAAAACAGGAAAAAAGTGTTCAACACTGAATTTTTTGCTCTTAACTCTCAATCATGTGATCCATACTTAATATACATTTTTTTTATAGCTGCTTAAAGAACTTTGTTATCTTTTCTGCTCTACTAGAAACGTTAATTATCAAATTAATCTAAAGTTGTAGTCTGAAGTCTTAAAACGCAAAATTTTTATTGTTGTCAAATAGCATCACGCTTTTTGAATAGTGCGGTGATGGCTGTTCAGGATTATCATGGCCATGCAGTGTTAAGTGGTTTCACAGCATCCTGAGGCAGAATTAAAAGGTGGTTTTTGAAGCCGTGTTGCTTCAGCCGAGCTGGAACTTCCTACTCCTTCGCAGACATCCTCCTGCATCACCATCTTCTTTGTAATTTAAATCCCAATAGAAATGTTAGCCCCACCAGAAGTCTTAACCCACGCTTTTCAGCGCTTTGCTGGTTTTCTACACCATCCAAGTCTAATGAGTAGTTAAACATCTGTTATGTTAAGCTTCCAGATACCCCTTAGATGCTTAGCATATTGGTTTGGAAATAGGAAGATTTTTCTGTAAGATGCATCAAACATGGAATATCAGTCCAATAATTTTTGTATAATAATAATAATTTTTTTCTTTTATCCAAAGCAACTTACAATTGCTATACATGTCAGAGGTCGCATGCCTCTGCAGCAACGAGGGGTTAAGTGTCTTGCTCAGGGACACAATGGTGGATGTCTCAAAGGCAAGCATCGTATCTATGCGCCATCACCACTTTCAAAAATTTTGTTATGTAGGTGGATATGAATTTAAAGATGTTAAATGTGTTCTGACACAACATTGTCGATTTCATCCCCTGTTAAATCAGTTTGGCTGCCTGTAATGGGTGTGATTTCCCCTCAGGCACATAATCTGACTGTTACTGAACTTAGATGAAGATAATTAGCTAGATTGGATTCAAGTCCAGATTTATTAATTTCCCTTTACATTTTCTTAA